TTGAAACTAATTTCCAAACTAAGATCCTATCTACAAACTTCATTCAGTTCATACTATACTCCTAACTTCCTATGATTATATTCTGTGATCTTATTCTGACGATCTTATCAATAAAGGAATATATCTAATAAACTTTCCTCTAGTGCCTTAATTCTGAAATGGTGAAATGAATAAATTATGGGTCTGCAAACAGAAGATTAACTCATCTCCCTTAATTTGATTTCTTCCAAAAAAAGTAATAGAAAAAAGCAAAATACAAAATATATTTGAAAGTGATATTTTGCATAAATAGCCAAAAAGATGATGAAGAAAAGCAAAAAATATATTAGACTACCATTTTATTCCATTAGGTGATCGAATAATCTACTCATCCAGATGAACCCACGTGTACCGCTTAAGCGTATTCCATTCTGCACCGTCGTTTTCCTTCAACTTTATTCTAACAATTGAAGAGAATCATCTATCCAAAAGTTTAATGTGATTTAAAACAAAATTGAGCATTTGCTTGTTGACAACTGATAATACAGCGCCTACAATGATACGATTAATTGTCGTATGTCCATGCAAAGGGGCAATCGAGAGAATGAACCCGAGTGCTTCGTCTTTTCCCGGCTCTGTGGAAAAGTAGGTAAATCGTAATGTTGCAATCATTCCGCTTATTTATTCATTGATATTTCATTAAAAATTAGAAAATTTATGGCATAAACATTTACGGTTAAAATGCGGAAACAGAAAGTCTCATCATATCCAAAAAACAGAAAGCCTCTATAATTTTGAAGGAAATTTATAGTTTCGCTGGGAAATGACGCAAGAAGGATCGAACAGTTGCATGGAAGGAAAATTGAATATTTAAGATGTAGTCCTAGCTGTTAATCTGAATGAAAATTTAGTATAAGCAAGAAGGAGAACTGAGTTCTAGGACTGAACTGCCGGAAAGAACTTCACTGGCCTGTTTCTGGATTATAGCACTGTTCATAACGATACTTAAATTTCATTAAAAATTTTCAACTTCTTTGCCTTAAATCGTATGCAATTTATTCTGTCTGCCAATCGGTAAATAATGATTACAATATCGAACGATTATTATTTACAGAACGATGAATCTGACTGTCGTCCGGTAAGCATTATAAGCAATCTCTCTTAATGCATTTAGGACAACTATTTAAGAGTAATTTCCAAAAGTTTCAGGTGACACTCGATCACCTTATAACTGGCATCCTTACTTTCCAGTAGCTCGATAGATGGTCGCTATTGCTGGTATTCGGCAAAACGTTTGTTCTTGAATACAAATCAGGAGCACGCTCACTAAAAACAGAGCAGTACCAAATCAGAATCCAATCTCAGCGCTACAATTCTAATTTTAATGATATATGATCTGAGCGTAAAAATGGGAAGGAATAGGAACCACAAAGTTTGCGAATTTTAATTTGTTTTTAAGCATTACATGAGAAACCGGAATTCTCTCGTGTTTCCCTGCTAGTTTCAGGTTGTAAACAGATGAATATTAAATGCGAATCAATATTAAAACTTAAAAGTTCAGTCTGATTCAATGAATACGGAAGATAAGAAGGAAAGACAAAAACGAGGCTTTCTCAACATAAGTACTACTTTTCTTAAATTCGCTTCAAATATCAGATGGATACTACGTACGGATCAATATGAAAATTAAATGAAACTTCGTAATTCGATCAACGTTGAGATAGACTTCTGCAGTATTACTAACGAAGGTAACGAAAATAAGGCGATAAATAAAATAAAATTCAAATTCATTTCTCACAACTCCGCTTATCCTTAAACTTGGAGAGATTTTTGGGGCAGCAAACTGTAGAGGAAATTAATTCATAATTAAGTGAAAGTGAGGTGAAAATAGCAGGTTCGCTTGATTTGTCCTCTCTGTGTAGTGTGAGTTACGTCCCCTGAAATGATGCATTTAAATGAACTTGAGAATTATTCCAAAGGTTATTCTCAACGGTTAGTCGCACATCATTCATATACAAGGAATTTAGATGAAGAAAAATGAGAAGAGATCACAAATTTGGATAACTGGAAACAAACTTTCAAAAGCATTTAAAAGACGCTAACTTTAATGACGATAGTAGAGAGCAGAACAGGAAGAGAAGTCGAGTGAGATGCGACAAGGACGAAACTACCTGCGGCATTTTACCGCAAAGATCGTTTGTGATCGTATTTTCTGACCTTTTGTTTCTTTCCTTCTTCCTTTTCTCTACCTTCTCAACAGCCATGACCTCATTAATCTCTACAATCCTCCAGCTCCTCTCCATCATTAAATCCTCTTTTCCCTTCTTTCTATGTTTAGAGTGACCATTAAAAATCACTGGGAGCCTTTTCCTTTCTTTCACGAAAGGCTGAACCAACGGTAAGAGTTGATAAACTTTTTGATATCACTGTGACTTATCGACACACTTCGATCATAAACACATGATAGTAAATCTGAATTGTAGTTCTTTTGACACCTCAGACTCTTTCAAAATTGGGAAAATTACATTAGCTTTTACATTAACTGAGAAAACATTAGCTTTTACATTAACTGAGAAAACATTAGCTTTTACATTAACTGAAAAAATTACATTAACTGAGAAAAAAAAGAAGGAATTGAATAAAGTCCGGACAGAGACGGGAAAGTTAAGGTAGGAATCTGAAAACGAAAGACCTGACTAGAGTTCAGATTCAATACCCAGTCATCGTTTGCGTGCGTAGGATGTAAGTTAGTAGTGTAAATAGAAGTAAAATGAACAGTGACACAAATATTAAGGATATCATCAGATATGGGTACTTCTATTCTGGAGCTGCACGCTATGGTTGATGCTGGCCGGGCTTCTGGCATGCATTGTAGCGATGAGAGTAAGAAAAGAAGTAATCCAGTTTTTGTAATTGCTTCGGAGAATGATATCCAGTTCTGAATATTACTTGAATAATTATTATTGAAGTAATCAATAAAACGTCGAAATCTACCCACAAAAAGAACTCAGCAGCAATCAAAAAATGACATGCAATTATTGAGTTGGTAAAAGTAATTGCTGTTATAAAGTTCACAGATAAAGGGAAGTATTTCCTGAAAATGCAATAACTAATTTTATTTCCATTCCTTATAGCAACTTGATTCATCAAATTTTGCTTATGGAAATTAAAAATTTTCAAAAAATGTGGAAGGGAAAAAAATGAAGTCTTTTTAGTTCAAAAATACAAACGTACTAATATTGAAAAACATCCTTTTCTCTTCAATATCACTCAGACTGATTTACACCGATATCACTCAGATTGAATTTTAATAGAAAAAATTATTCAATTGTTATAATTACTGTGATTATAACTTGCAGCAATTAGAAGTAAACACAAGATGCGATGAGCAGTTATTGCATGTACAAGAAGATATTTTCTTCTACATAATCATTAGTACCTGATCAGTTGAATCAGAACTGAATCAATCAAAATTGATTACATGACTCTGCATGTTAAGACTCTCTTCAAATGTTCTTATTAACTTGGCTCTTCCAGTTCACCACTCTCAGACTCTTCTTCACAACATGACGATCTCGATTTGTTATCAGTGGATGTTGACATTGATTAATTTGTGCACTTCTTTTCTGTCCTAATAATAAAATGCAATAATTGAAGATTAAAATTCTTATCAACAAAATCTGAATACTGCAGCAATCAACATTTAACTTTAACGCGAGAATCATAGCAGCAATGAACGCGAGATGACGAGGAAGGAAGATGGAAATGACTTTGCGTGGACATAGTGGACACATTATGAGAAGACGAAGCTTCGGAAAAATATCGACAGGTGGGTTGATGATCACTCTAGATGAGTCAACAGCCTTCCCTTGCACTTTCAACAGCAATAAAGATATTTGTCAAAACAATAATGGTTGCATATAATTGTTTTTTTTATCGACTTAAAAAATTCGATCGAACTGCTTTCAATTTGAGATTTTAGTGAATTTGACAAATAATAATTGGAATGATTCTCCTTTTTATTTTATTCATTTTACAACTAAAAACATTTCATTCACTGCTTTTAATTAAGAGAATAAAAGCGCTTTCATTTTTTAAAACTTATTCAAAAAACTCAAACGAATTTCTTTTCTGCAACTGTGACAGGATTCCATTGAGAACAGTAAGACCAGAATGATCGGAATCTTCGAGTTATAAAGTTGGAGTTTGACGCATGACAAATGAAATAACTAAAATTTCTCGATATAAGGAATTTAAATTATTATCATCAGTTGGAATTATCTTCAGGTATTCCACCGCCAACGACATAAGCTCAAACTTTTAATTGAAACCACCTCCAGGTTACTGCAGCACCAATCTAGGTCCATGGCCTTTATCACAGAGATCATCATAACACTGCGGTTGTTCAAACAGGGAGAGCGGTAGGAAAATGATATAGTTTTACCATTGGTACTGAATTCAGAAATGATAGAGAAGGATCTGAATTTCCTCAACCGTAGCTAGTGAATCCTACTTCATCTGGCAACTACTGAAGATCGCATTTTCTTTACAGCCCGGTGTTCTGCAGGAAGCGGATGTGCAGTAGTGGAAAACTTTGTTCTATGTGCAAGAAATTCAGAAAAGAGTATATTTTAGTCTGGTACCATTTTTTTCGATGAAAACGGTAATCGTAATAGGCTAATCGCAAATTTGATAATCCACTTTTGGTCACTTTTTACTTTCCCCAGCAACAATCTTTAAGATTAGATGGATTTTAAACGGTGCTGGTCGTGTTCCGGCGGCAACACTAACGTCAGCTGTACAACATGTGACACTCACCTGAACAAAATTCCACGCAACACGTCAATACTCCTCATATTGTTGCCCGAATGGTTGCGGGATTGGAAGTTTTCATACGAGACAGAGCTGCGGTAAGTTAAATTCAAGCACATTGTGGGGAAATGGTGAGGCTGTTTTCTATGTTATATTTTTGTTTCAGATTTAATGGGATTCACATCAATGTGATTGTGTTTGCATAAATAATGGGCAAATACGAGAAAGGAACACCGAAAGAAATTGCCAATCGATGTAAATCAAAGGGCTTGCAAAAACTGAGATGGTACAAGAATTCGTATTATTATATTGAATTTCTTGTACCAGCTAAAACGAATAGATCTTGCATTGCCTTAATTCATTAGTCCGCTTTGTAATATTTCAGGTTTTGCCAGATGTGCAAAAAGCAGTGTCGCGACCAGAACGGCTTCAAATGTCATTTAACGAGTGAAACTCATCAGCGACAGTTATTACTGTTTGCCGAAAACCCAAATACTTATCTGAAAGAATACAGCGAAGAGTTTGAAAATAACTTTTTGAAGGTAGCGCTTTACTGATTCTGTGCAGACTTTTATGCAATTTTTGAGTTATTGGAAAATTTTGAGACTTATCCGTTTATTTCTTTCTTTTTTCTTGCTCTTTTCATTGGTATAATCATAGTTGCACACGGTATATATGATTCTGGGATATTGGAGCTTTAGATTAACCAGCCTATGTCTTCGTTTAAGTTTGCTGTGCTTGACATAGCTTAGCAATTATTGTAATCGTCAAATATTTCTGTTCTTTTTTCATCAGTGTTGTAATGATGAATTAGTTTAGTTTGTTGAAGTTGTTTTCTGGAAAGTTACGGAACAGAAGATGAGAAAGAGTGTAATAGGAAGGAAAAATGTTATTAAACGTTGATATATCTATTCCAGGTATTACGAAGCACTTTTGGTACGAAACGCGTTCGTGCCAATGAAGTTTATCAAGAATACATTCGTGATAAAATGCATACGCATATGAATTCAACAAAGTGGCATACTTTAACTAATTTTGTTATTTATCTTGGGAAATCTGGCAAATGTCACGTCGATCAGACAGAAAAAGGTTAATGCTTCATTTTTATGTATCTTTGATTCTTTTGTGCATTTGGTACTGATTATGTACTCAATGTTTGCAGTATGTTGCAAATTAGTTCTAAAATGTCGCTTTGCTAGAGTTTCTCAATCCTTATTTCACTTGTTTTATATTGTTGCTTTTCTCAACAAGAAGTATGTTTTGTTGAACAATTCTTTTAACCTTTTCAGTGAAAAAAACAAAAAAGAAATTATATTAATAGTCGTGCAGATGAATTTGAGATGATATTTCACAGCCTTCCTATAGTTGTTTGAATAATTGCTTTCCCGTAAATATCATCTGGGATCTCAAAAGTGGGCAGGATGATCCTTTAGGTTGGTTTATTGCATGGATTGATCAACAAGAAGAGCTGAGAAAGCAGGAAGCATTGCATAAGGTCAAAGCAATACATGATGATGAAGAACGATTACAACAGTTATTGGAAGAGCAAGCAGAAAGGTATCTATCTATTACTAGGTAGCACTTGCAGAAATCTTGGAGAAGATTTGGAACTCTTGTTTTTTCTCAGTGAAGTTATATTCTCTATAATAAATCTAAATTTAAAAATTATGAAGTGGAAGAGCATGCCTTCAACTCTTAATTTTACTGATAGAATGTATCAGTTTTTAAAGAGCTCGTGAAAAACGACAGCAATCATCAGATATGAGCAAGAACCATCCCACAGAGTTACGTCGTGCTGGTGATGACTCGAAAGTCACTTTTTCTTTGACGACAAAGAAGCTAACTGATGAGGTGAGAGTTATTAAATTTCTGCTTTCATCTGGAAGATTGACTTTTTTCTTTTAATATAGTTTTTTTCGGCTTTGGTGACGTGACTTTTAAGTTTTTATATTTTTTGAAGTGCACAGCCAGTCAAGTATGTAATGGCTCCGGGTGCCTGCTAACAGGTAGTTACTTAATATTTTAATATAAGTTTATAGGAACTGACTAGACCATGTACGTCGGTTTTTGCGACGTCTTATTCTATATTTCACACCAAAATCAAAAGAGAAACAAAGCTTGAACTAGAATTTCTGGATAAATCTAAAAAGCATCAACAATGGGATAACTTGTTCAGCGCAGCAACCTTGAAGAGAGAAATAAAGAGTTATTGTCGGAAAGAGCATGGTAATTAAATTAATTCAGTATTGTAATTAAAATTAAATATTAAATTTTCTTGCAACAGCTGCACGTACTTCTTGTTTCTTTTTTGTAAATTATAGTTGTAATATACTCGATCTATTATGTGGAGACGTTTCGGTGATACTGATCGATGTAAGTATTTGTTTCCTAAAAGTAATATTTAATAATTGGAGTCTGTTTTTAATAGATAGTTTCATGTTTCTGTTATATTTTATTGTCTGCATTCTCTAGATGATTCGACTGTTGGGTCAAATAAAAGTCGGAGAGAAGATCTGAAGTCAAAAAGAAATGTCTTGGATGAAATTATGGAAATGGAAGAGCGTCGTAAGGAAAAACGGAATAGACGAGACAATTGGCTTCATGAAGGGATTGTTGTAAAAGTGAGTTTTTTTCTACTTTATCTGAACAAATGGCATATCGTGAGGTTTGTATGAAGTCCTACTTCAGTACATCATGAATTGGTGGTAGAATAATGGTAATGGAAGTCTAATAGTACTCATCAATATAGCATAAACAGTGATTGGTATGATATTGGTTATACGATGAACTTTTCCTCAAGACATTTTCGTATGAGTGTGATATATTTAAGCCATGGCTGTGGGATTAATGTTGTTGGAAATCTGGTTAATATTTTTCTTATACTTTTTTTTTTTCTTGCTTTTGGAATTCTAGATTATTACGAAGAAATTTGGCAATGATTTTTACAAAGCGAAAGGTGTGGTAAAACAATTAGTGGACGATTTCACCGCCATTCTGGATGTGAACGGTAGGCCTGTTTCTTCCGTCATGAATTTACAGCTTTCCGTTTTGCGAAATCCACGGTGAAAGATTTTTTTAATCGAGAACTTTAGAATGTATGCTATTTAATATATAACAGTTCTCAAATTTTCATTGAGAATTCTCAATATTACAAGCGAAAGTTTGTACTGGCACATGCATTTCTACTGAAACTGAAGATGACATGCCTGAAGTTTTCATCCTTCATGAATCACTAGTTTACTGTGACTTAATCAGTTTACTTTTTAATTTTAGTTTCAAGTTTTAATTAGATTAGTAGTACTTTAATTATTTCATATTTAATTATTAATATTTCGAAGATTTTTTGCACAGGGAGGTGATTTCTTGTGTTGTAAATAAACATCAGCAGCGCATATGTTCATTTCCCTAACAGCTTAACGAGTTGACTTATCAGACTGATTTAGATTGTTCACTGAAGGTGAGCCAGGAAAATGTAGAGACAGTGATACCGGCAGTGGGACGTGAGATGTTGATTGTTAACGGAGCGTATCGTGGAACGAAAGCTGTGTTGCAAGCGATTGAAGAAAAGAAGTTCGCCGTGGTCTTACGCCTTGATGAAAGCCTCGCTAAAGGAAGAATTTTACGTTTACCATATGAGGATGCTTGTAAGATCAAACAGTGAAATACTTTGCTACTTTTATTACTACTCGAAAATATCTGTTATCTCACTCGAGATTTTAACAGGATTTCTGTTGCATATATGCGGTATGTATGAGTGCTAGTAGTTTGTCGTGGCCGAATTTGCAGCGCCATGAAAGTTAGGAACGTTGAGTTTTTTGTGATAAACTAATAACTCCCTTCATCTTTCCTTTTTTCATGAGATGATGATACTTCATTGCACAATGTTTTGCTTTGGATCCTTTCAGATTTCTTGATTTGTGTGAAATTCTCAATAGCTTTCTAAAACCGTTTTGAGTATTGGGTGAATTGTATATTTCATTTTTCTCTGACATTTGTAGTCGGTGTAAAGATAATTATGAATTTTAAAGGCTTCCTGCACCTTTTCTTTAATTTCCTTTTAATCTACAAATGTTAATAATTTGTTCTTGATGCTTGTTATGCATTAAAATTGTTGTTAGAAAAACAATTCCATCAGATTTATCTGATTTTCTGAAGTAGTACAGAACTGGACTTTCAGTAGGAATGTTATTATTCCAATCTTTAAAGCATGTTTATAAACATATTTTGAAATTACCTTGGAATATTTGTCGAATTAACAAGTGAGTTCTATAGAACCGGACCCAAATCTTTCTTCATTATGGCCATTTTTGGATGACTATAACATATGATGTCTTTTTCGAAAGCAGTTTTAAGCTTGAGAGAAAATTGATCATTTGTTGGCATAAAAAAGATCAGCATGATTCAAATTACAGTCATTTGGTTTATCCGATGCTTTGTGAAGCATTGTTGCATTAAGAGAATGAAGTGCTCCTTATGTATTTGTATGATTCCTTAAGAACTTGAGTCCATCTTAGAAATGCCGTCGAAAAAGGGTGGTGGCAAGGGAGCTGCTGGAAATGGCACTTCGGAAGGAGGTGGTTTGGTAAAGAAGGAATCCAAAGGTGGTACCGCCGTCAAAGTCAGACATATTTTATGCGAAAAACAGGTGGGTTTTTTTCTCCTTGATAATCTCTGGTTTTGCTGTCTTTTCAAAAAACAGTTGCATCACTGTCTCTCCATGGATGTGTTGTGGTACTTTTTTGGTGGATATATGAAAACCTTACTGCAGGGAAAAGCAATGGAAGCCATCGAGAAATTGAAATCTGGTTCAAAATTCAATGAAGTAGCTGCAAATTACAGTGAAGATAAGGCTAAGTTGGGGGTAATGCGTCTACCGTTTTTATATTAGTTTCCGGGTTTGGAAATGCGGATACACACTAGTTTCTTTTTCCATCATTTCGACCGTACTTGATTGGTATTGGTGGTGACAATGACAGGAGTTATTGTTCCAACTCATACCTGCATTCTCTGTTCTCTGATAAGCAGTTATCAGTAGACACACGATCAGAACACTTGCAATGCTTACAATTGCTTTTAATCTTTTTCATGTCAATGGTCCGTACTAATTCAGGGTGATCTCGGTTGGATGACTCGTGGATCAATGGTGGGTACATTCCAGGATGCAGCATTTGCTCTTCCGAACAGTACTGTCGATAGGCCTGTATATACTGACCCACCAGTGAGAACACAGTTCGGTTATCACATCATCATGGTTGAAGCTAAAAAGTGATTACACTTTTTTGTTTTGCTTTGTCTGCTTCTGTGTTTTTGTGCTTTTTATTAGAAGTACAAAATTTCTCAGTACAGTCATTCACATGCTGTAACTATAAGGAAGAGATGACCAATATTTAGTTTTCTAGTATTTCACTTTGAAGACAGATGGAATCTTATCATTCACCGATCACTATTCAAGTTTTCATAAACACACATTTGAATGTTTGCGGAATCACCGTATAACTTTAGTATTTATGTATACGATTGTAGTTGACATATTAAAGATTTTTACAGTCCTATGTTTATCGAATATTTGGAAGTACTTAGCTATAAAAAAGGAAAACACTGAGGAAGAAATTTAAAGTATCGAAGGATGCGGACTACTGCAGCAAATAGATTTTATTATAAAAAGACACGGCATGTAACTTGTAATCTATCTTTAGTTGATGCAAATCAACCGCTATACTGGTATATGTTGTCAACATTAAACTAAAGGCTTAGATGTTGGTAAACTGATTCATTCTTGTTGGTAAAGCTATCGACCTTCCAACTTAAAAATGGCTTCCCTTCTCTCATTCGCTTTTCATTTTTTACTCTGCTTCCATTCCCATTTCCACAACAATTTTTTTTTTTAAAGTACCTGTGGGTTTAGAATGATAGGTAAATCGAATATGATATCGTTATTATTGAACCAACACCGCTGCTATCCTATTATGATAAGCTTTAGCTTACGACTTATAGATTTGAAAGATTGTTTCATTTGGTCAATCAAACATTTAGTGACGAAATATGTTCCAAATGTAATTGGGAAATCATAACCGCTACTTGAATGATTTGGAAAATGGTTCTGGTGGTTGCACAATAGACGATGACCCGGAAGTTGCGTAATATGTCCTCTCCAGCTACTTCACAGTTACCGCTGCAACTCATTGGGATGATCACGAGGAAATTGGTGACTTCGTGGCACCTCTCTCGAAATAACTGCTTTTGTTCCAGAGCTCTTCTTACGTCCTTTATTTACTAAATGAACAAGCAGATATAACTGTTTACCAAACTGATGAACTGGGAATAAATCCAAGAAGAAAAATACCCTTGACCACCTCATTTTCCTCTTCTTACTCTTCTCGCATTCGTATTTATTTCAAAAATAAATGAGATCTGTTCTAGTAAACAACAAACATTCTTTTTAATCCTTAAACCACAGATTTGGTCGCCATATCATCCGTGAGTTAAGTGGAGCATTCCTGGATACATTTATTCATTGTGGGCAGATATGAAACAATTTCAACCAATCACTGTAAGTCTGTAATTTATTGCACTAAATCACAATTTTGTAGTTTAAAATAATTTTCAAATACTGATTTCAATTTGAGTGTTACGTAGAGTTCCTTGTAAACTATCCTCACTTCCGTCCTATTCCTACCCATATACACACGCTTGCATCATCAATTGCTGCTATACACTGACATTCTGTTGTTTACACGTGCAGTTGGATAATTCGGGTAAAAAGCCTACTTCATTGCGCGATCATTTGATAACCACTAAACGACAAAGGAATCGATCGATCGCCTGTTTGGTCTTCCCGATCCTCCAGACTGCTTCAGTTAGGAAAGAAAGAGATAATTATATTAACAAGCATCGAATTTATCTGTTTGTTTACGGTGTGAGTGAAATAAAATGATATAGCTGCTACTGCTTATTCCACGTCTCCATTAGCATTTAATTGGTTGTGCAGGCGAGATGAGATGTCGTGGAGAAGTGAACCAGATGCTGCTAGCCTTCTTTTTGTATTTCTATCTATATTAGTGCTAATCTAATAAAGTTCAGAAATCAGTTATTTGCTATCAAATCTTGCTTAATGATCAGTCACTGTCTCTAATTTCAATTCAACGAATCTTGAACTTAAAAGAATAAACATACATTTATTTTGTATTTGAATAAAACTCCTTCATCTCTGCTTATTTAGCAGAGATGAAGGAGTTTTACCCATAGATAATGATAGAACTTGGCAAAGTATCTTATGAAGGGTTGTTGGGAAAGTTCTATTCTAATCAAATTCGCTTCAGTTTAAAGGAATCGACCATGTGATACATTCACTCATCCCTTGTTGTCACTTGCCATTCGTCTATTTTATCGCAGTAAGAATATCAACAATTTTTATTCAAAGCAACTCCGATTTAATTATCAACATCGTTCTCCTGCAATGTTACTAACACGTAAATGACGTGAAACTTCCTGTCTCCTGATTTAATTTCAGCACATTTACAATAATCATGCATTCCCATGAGCAGCTTTTATAGTTACTCATCGTATTTAAAGCATTCAGGCATTTAGAAGTTAATTAACTTGCAAATTGATTGAATTTTTCATCAGTTTTTGTAAGCTATAGAATTTTTTTTAAATCGTAGGATGGGATTTCACTTTAAATTTAAGCTGAACTCATTGCTATTCTAGACTTCGCCATCGAATTGTCGAATCTTTGGAAACTGTATGGAAATGGATATAATTGTTAGGCAGCGCCAAGCAGCTTCTACTATACAGGTTTGTCATCATTGGTTGTATATTGTGAGCTTTGTTTAATTCAGTTTTCTTGAATTCAGTTTTTCACTATTTCAATTCAAATTAAGACGAACGCTTAGAAGAGAATAAGAAAATGAAGACAGCTTGCATGATACAGGTAACATAGCATTATTCCAGAACTGAAGTACTGCGGCGCTGATATTTCTCATTTCCTTAGAAATTTCCCGCTTTTAAAGGCTTAATGCACAATCAAGAGACTAAAGTTCTTTTTCAAAATAATTTATTAACTAAAAATATATTTTACGTCTGGAGAAATTTTAAAGATACTGTTAGTCTGTTCATATCCTGAACTTTAGTGTCGTTAATTAGTTACAAGCTTTCGTAAAGTTAGCTATTCCCACTCCATCTGCAAGACACTTCCACAGTTATAATGGAGTAGGTAAAGCCTTTTCAGAGATATTACCGTGGTTATATTAGCCGTAAGAGTGATAGAAATATCAATGAGCAACAATCGTCGTACAGGTGAGAAAGTAACAGAGGAGAGAAATCCTAACAAATCTTTGCGAATTTGACCAGTGTATGTGAAACGAAATTCATTCTAAAATTATGAACCTAAATGACACTGAGTAAATAATGATTAATATATCAATCTCAAATTTAGTTCCACATCCATTCGCATATCAGTACATGACCTGAACTTTATGTAAATTAGTGCTACATGCATATAAATCAAAACCTTTTCCTATATCTAAAGGAAGAATATTCGCCTTCTCTCTTTTGATCCAAGTCTAACAAAATGCTTCCATTGGATTGTATAAATAAAAAATGAAACAAAAACATTTCCAAAAAGGGAAAAGTGGTATCTTACAAAACGCTCATTTAATTCGCAATATCTAATAAAAACTGGTGTACCCATGCCGCTACACCATCACTTTCATCAGTTGTTGACTCCGTTATCTTTAATCATTTCATTTCGATACCCGAATGTCTAGCATTTGTTCGTTCGCAGGTTTTCCGACACTTAAAGATGACTATTTTATCGCGATTAAAAAAAAAAAAAAAATGAAGAGGAAAGAAATCTAATATTGTACCAAGCTTTAACTGCAATCATAGCAATCGAATTACGCAAGAAAAAATAAATGCAAAAAAAAAAAAGAAAAAAGTGCAGTATATTACAACTGGTGACAAGTGTAGGAAAACAGCATTATCAACTTGATCTTATCTTCATCTTTAACAAATTTCTTAGTATTAGAACAAATTATGTAATAAAATACATGATTTAAAACTTTCTATGTATTTATTTAATTTCGTGTACCTCATCGAAATGATGATTTACGTAAACAAAGATAAATTTGCATTAATTTTTAGAATATGGAAAGGATGAAGCATTAGCTAGGAAATATGAATAAGTATTTGTCAGTATTTACATATGCTTAGCATATACATTCAGATGTTTCTAATTCTCAGTTCCCCTTAAGTTCCGAAGACCTTGCTGAAATGAGTATTGGAGGTTTATTGCATGATGATATGCAATATATGCGCGCATCATTTTATGAAATTTTGTTGAGACCAAAATTAATAAAAATGTCATAATTTTGAACTGAAATGGTTATCTAAGCAAAAATCATAATTTTTAGGGAGTGACTGAAATTGAAGAGTTTGGATCTATATTTTAATATTTCAACTGCACAGTTTTTATTCACACAAAATAACACAATAATTTGAGGAACTTAGGATTTCATTCCAATTCGTAAATGCAAGTCAATTAAATAATAATGCTAATGATTTAAGAAATGAAACGAGTGGAAGAAAGAGAAAAAGGTAAACAAGATTAAATAAACCTATTGCAATGGTTGCTAGTGCATATGCAACTAGAACTTCAATAATAAAACATATATATTACTTACTAAACTGTATTGCAGCATAGCAACGTTCTTCAAATATTAAACATAATTTTAAATAATTTGTTGATAAATCTTAATGAACATTACTTTTTACCCAAGAAGTTCACCAAAGTTTAAAGCATTGATGACTTTGCGGTTGATTTCGTCCCTCGTTCCTGGAATATATCTTCTGGAGCACTATCTTCCGAATCCGCATCATTCACATCCACTGTAACCGGTATATCACCTAGAGTTCCATCATGTACAGAGACTCGTTTCAGACGTGAAATGTTTTCGAAAATACCATTTTTTGTTAACCTGAAATTGAATGACAACACTTAAAACTATTAATACATATTCATTACTGAAAAATGATACAAAGTTGTTTGACAAGCAAACATTTTGCTGAATAAGTAGTTTTGGGGGAGGAATATGAAGCTGATAATATTTCATTAAAAAAATATGCAACAACATAGTTTTAAAGAAAGTTGGAGATGTATAAGTGAAACTGAAATTTCCAAAAAAAAAAAAAACACGTAAGTAACAAACGCTTCGTCATCATCATCATCTTGAGCCAATTTTAGATACGGATTCTTTTCTTGTGGCCTAAACTGATAGCCAGCAGTTAAGAAAAATACGAGCGTTGAGAATTCAACCACACAATCAGTTACCCAATCATAATTAAACGGTACTACAGCCTGAAAAATTTTTTTTTGCTCTATTATAATGGTTTCACGAAGTACGAACAACCAAAGTTCGGGTTTCGTTCTGCACCCCAGAACAAAATACATCTCTCACAATAATTCAAGGTGGAATTAACTTTCACTTTTAAATGAGTACAGAAATGTGATACTTAAAAAACAAGCCAAGTGACAATTATGTTATAATATCCGATAATATATAATATATGACTACGCTATAAGTTTTCAAAATCTTTAGTCACTCTGACCTTATGTGAAGCAAGAAAGAATTTCCATAGTTACGAAAACTTCAGGAAAAGTACAGATGCAAAAGTATGTTAAAATCTAAAAAGTAAGAAATATTAGTTTCAATGAAGAAATAGGTAGGAAAATGCTAACCTCAATGACGAACCTAATAACACGAGTCAAGTATATATAACCAATAATAACCAAATAGAAATGTCGGAATAATTTTAATTTCTCTAAATTAAAAGCTGCCTTTCCATCGCTTCGAGCACCTTCCTGCAAATGACGCATCGACCTGAAGAACACAGAACATATTAAAGCAAAAACTTTGCAAACACTGATGTACTTGTATCATGAATTTCAAATTCATTTTAATCCAATTTCGTCTAGCTATTCTTAGAGCCAATCCTTTAATTTGTGAGCACGATTTGGCACGAAATTCAAATAGCCACTCTCGGATTTTCACTCTCATTGCATTTAGTAATATCAATTCTTGTCAACTAACTTAAATCGACACTGCTCTATTCATTTTAGTTCGTTCACTACAGCTCATCTTAATTCTTCGCGATTGTGTTTGATCATTATGCATGATAATAAATAATTCCTAATACCCGTAATTCCCTCTTTAAGTGTAAACTCATACAAAAACAAAAAGTAACAACAGATGATTCATACCATACGACTGGAAAAATTATTGCCAAACAACAGACAATATCGAAAAATATAAATACTTGTAACCAGAACTGATAACTCTGCTCTCCGAATTCACTTTCTTCAATGATAATCATTGCAATATTGTCGATCACCTACAACCTTGAGAATAATCTCAACAATATTTGAATATAATCCCAAAAAAAGTATATAAAGAGATCAAACTTTCGTATTCAATTCATCCACAAATCACTTATGCGGCATATTTTGATCCATGCATGCAGCAGCACCTCCATCTTTCGCATAATCTCTTAGAAACATACTTCGCTAAGTTTCGAATTCGAAATGGAATTCCAAATGATCTAATTCAAGCACACCAATCATCGCAATTTCATTAGTCCAAATTATTAAAGATAATAAATACAATCAAAATGTATTTATTGCCTAGCTTTGTTATTTTGTACTTCATGATGACTGTTACGCTCCGATCTTATATTAAAACGTTAACTGCATGATGTAATAAAACCACAACTGTTATTTGGAATTCTTACCAACTCTGACAGTCTTATTCACAAAACAAATTTAACAATCTATAAACCAGCAAAACACCATGCCCGAACAAACTAACCTGAAGTGGTAAAACAATTATAAACAATTTTCTATCACGATCGGTCAAAAATTTCTTGAAAAATGTATAACCTGTACCAATCAGAATTATTGTTCCAAATAAAATACCACCTTTTAATCTGTAAAAAAAAAAATAAATGAAATCAGTAAAAAAATGAAAGTTGCTCCTATCAATTTGGAAATGTTCACAACTCTATCTTCCGCTAACATAACTAATAATTAATTAAACAAAATTCCAACCGTACTGTAAAACTTCCAAGTAAGTTAAATTAAGATGTAAATAAAAAGATACAGATGTGTGATATAATAAATGACAGCCCAAATTTCGCGTTGATGTCCATATACTGAGACGAAATAGTAGTTGATACCATGGAAAAATAAAGACAACGATTTTAGGATAACCAATGCTGTCATTAAATGATGCACTTTGTAAATCGTACCCGAACTAAAATGAAGGAAACAATTAGAACGTACTGCTCTATATCAATATTCAGATCAATTTGTAATCGAAGTAACGAACATGCATTACCTTGAATGACAGATATTACGTATCCATACGCATGCAGCAACTGCAAATATTGTTGCCATATATAAGTACAACTTTGGCTTTGCTACATCACCAGCAGGAAGATATGATCCTGGATTACGTTCGACTATGTCAACCTTCAATTTTTCAATTTTTTAGATGCATCACACTCTAAGTTCAGGAAGGAGTAGAGAGTTAAGAGAACATGTTGGAAAGGTAAGTGAAAGAGAAGTATGCTTCGCTACTGAGTGAAGAGTGGTAGTGATTGATCAAATATCGTTTTATATTATCAGTGGATTTAATGATGAAACAATAAAGAGAAAAAAATAACAAACGGTAAAATGCACAGCAACTTGGTTACTGTAACCATGCGCTCGGTAATTGAAACAGTTGTGGTAAATGAAACTATAACGGCCTTGTTGCCCTTCCTCGAATTTTAGTGCAACCTTAAATTCTCATCTTTCAAACCTCAAAACAGACAAATTTAATACATTTCCGTATTTATTTTCCAAATCAGCCAGCATTATAAACTTATTCATTGAAAATTTTCAATCACTCACTGAACAACACTAACCGAAGTAGAATACTGATCTCCAGAAAGGTTTAAAGGAAGATAATCTTTATATGGTATTTTTGTGGCAGTCGTTCGGAATAATATGTCGTGTAATTTGTCGAAAAAACCAGATGTATGTGGCGAGCCCTGCAACAATTACTTCTAGTAAATGACAATGAAAACAAGTTCTCAACTGTTTTAATTAAAGTAAATGCGTTTTTTGTTTTTAGAATTCTTGGAAATCTAAGATGGAGGCAGAAACGAACTTTGACAGATGGCTTATCGACATCCCTGGGTGATGCCTCTAATGATGTTCGTTCTACTTTATCTGGACAACTGCAATGAAATCATTTAAATTTCAACCAACCAAACGACATTTTAAAACTAATTTAATTGGTGGGAACACAAGGCCTTAACTATTATTCCCTTTTTCAGCACTTGTGCCAATACCTAAGAGATTATTTCTTTTGAAAAGTGTGCTAAATGCTATGGTTAAAACAATGCAATAACGAAATGAGAAATTTTAGTAATCCATTCACTCAAAAAAAAAAAAAAAATATAATAATAATGATAAGTGAAAAATTCCCAAAAATAATGATAAGTGAAAAATTCAGTAACCTTTCTAAATTTTTACACAGTTGCAAATCGTAGGCTGAACCTGTACGTATAACTTTCAGACTGTTCTCGGTAAAGTTGAAGACAAAGAAAAGTGCATCAAAATCTACAATGATTTGTCAGTAACTGTTCATATTGTGTTTAAACTTTTTAAAGAAAAAGTTTGCAGTCTATAGTGCATAAAAATTAGGAAAAAATGAGTCTTAAAATCTTTGGTAAAGTATCACCTTGATCAAATTGTGATAATTGACATACATGTGGTTTCGATCTAACACCATTCAGTATGTCCTTGCCTCGTGACAGTGTAAAACCAATAACACCCTAAAACGAATACAGAGTTCAAAATCATTGCCCTTTAAGTTGTTTAGAAAATGTAAATAAAATTACTGGGTGTAATTACCTACATCTAAAATGTGAAAATCTATTCTATGTCTCCGTCATATATCTTTTTGTCCTTTTTGGCAGTTTCATCATTTTTAAATAAAATCCCTCTATATGCAAATAATGGTTAAAATAGGAGGAGAATAAGGGTAAAACGAACGAATCGATCAGTATTACGCTGTTCACGTGTCACATCAGGTGACACCAATTCTGCTGGAACTGTGAAATTGTACAGTTTTAAGATAAATGTACCACCTTTATTATATCCGAATGTTGTCAGTAAGATATTCCTGCGTGCATCATTCTATAATAAAGTGGAAAATAAACTTTCTTAGTTATACTAAATTTACATTGAAAGAATCTGAAATTCTTGTAAGGAAATGACACAACAGCTATCATTATTGTACTGCTTTCTCTCTGCTTATTTGCCAAATTATTTGTTCGTGTTCTTATCGTTATCAGCGAAAAGCTGATCTCAAATATAAGGAATAACTTCATTCAAAGATGTGTTAATAATGATAATAATGAAAATTTTTTTTGTCCATTATTTCTCTTGCAAAAGACGGAAAAATAAAAAAAATCAAATGAAATGACTGTTTTCTTGAATCGACTTTAGGTAAACAGCGTTTCGCAAATTCCAGATAAAAGTTCAGTGCTAAAAACTTAACTCGTACGGATTCTATCCCTCCTTGTTTGATTAACATTTTTAGAATTCAGGAACTGAATATATGAAATAAAAACTCATCACAGCACTACAGCACAATCTATAGTATATTAACATGTCTTATAAAAATCCACAAATGATGTACGTCAACTCATTTCACGTTTCACTTGTCGTAAAAGTATTGTGAAAGCAAACTTACTCTTAAAGCAAGATGGTGAATTTTAGATCCAACGAAAGTGACCAGTACAATTAATCCAATAAGAACAACTATCAATTTCCTCATGATTATTCACACTCTGAATGATTTACATCAAAAAACTAAGCCAAAAGATATGATAGCCTTCATAAAGTTCTCAGTGACAATTCAAATTGCCACACTTGATTGTTTTACGAGCATACGAGCACCTTTTTCAACCGAGCACACGTCTCTACCTCCTGCTTTTTCAAAGAGCCACACGCTCTCGGACAGTACTTCACACAGGTTAATATGTGGTCCGTCCAGTGTGCTTCAGAACGTTGTTTGTACCAGCTTGTTCCCTTTGCTTTTGCTGCAGACTTATAGTTCCGGAATCGCTCGAGACTGTTCAAATTCTATATCCATGAATTTTAACTTTTCAATATTTTAACCAAACCCACAAGTCCGAGTTTTTGTCAATTATTACACCATAAGACATGTCCCACGCAACAACACTGCTGGAAATGGAGTCAACTGGTTCACCTAATTTCGACTCTCTAATTTCTTTAACTTCTACATTTCCTTCTCAAAAAATTACAAATCCAGAGTTCCTGCACAAAAGATCCACACCAGTTAGGTGCTGTCGGTGAAACGCTTTCGTTAACCTCAACAATGAAACCATCGAATGTTGTTACGTGGATAAAATTCATTAGAACCATCTCAGAGTTTCATCCTTTTCTCGTACATTTATTGCAGTCTGCGTAATTCCATATCCTCTAAGTACGCTTAACAAATGTTATGAACAATTTCAACTCTTAAAATGCCATGAAATTAGACGAACAGTACTGAAATGTATTAAGTAATGAATTTTTCCCCTTTTTCTCATTCGATGCCAGATGTCAAGTACGGAAAATGACCGATCACTAATAACCGATATCGAAGTGGTTATTACCGTAGTTTATGAGGGATTTAGGTTTTTATTTAGCTTTGAATAGGTTTGTAAAAAATACATACACAAATAAAGAAGTAAAAGTTCCTTTCTTTAAAGAAAAACTAAAATGCTCTGGTCGCAAAAATTAAATTTATTGATTTACAGCCATTAATACGTTAGCTTAATAATCGGTGAAGGTTAAACATAAAAAAGTCAATGATGTGAGGAAATGTGAAAAATTGTAATATTATGCCATTTATAGATTTAAATGCAATAGTTTTGTGAAAGAAACATAAGGATAAATACGATAAGCGATGCTAGCTATACAGCAACCTGAAACAAGCATTAGTGGCAGCACTGGTGCATTCAGCAAGACGCATGTCTGCAACTAAAGAAATTTGCTTCTATGCTTTCCAAATTCTAAACAGCAGAAAAAGATTCATTAGCAGATGCGCAAAATTATTACCACTTTTATCTCTTATAACCGGTGACAGTTTTCTGCCATGTGATAAAAAAAAAAAAAGTGTTTAGGCAATCTATTCGACAATGACACCGTGTACTACAAACTGGCAATTTCTCCGAATGATTGGAAAATAAGTCTCGCGAGTCAAAAAGCACATGTCATGCAAGGAAGAGACCAACAAAAAGGAGCGTAGGTATGAAAAGAATTGCGCTGCAAATTTTAACAGCAGAAATCTAATTTTTCTATCATTACATCTTGCACTCTAGAAAACATAACCCATTTACAAATTAATTCACTTTTCTCCGTGCTCCTTTTCTTTTTCTAATCATAAAAGCAGATTCAGTAAGAAGATGACTTCTTACGCTAACATCGCCAAAATAGAAGTTGATGGAAACTGGTGATCAGAAAGTTCCAGCTCTGTAGGTCATCTTCTAGAGGTATTTGTTTGCTGTTGGAATGGACTCGTGGATCGCCTTTGCAACATCATTTTGTTTCTCTCATTTTCTAGATCTCGTTCTTTCAAACTGTCACTGATTCTTTTCTTTAATTCCGTTGGAAAACGATCGTAGCAACGTTTACATGTTGGTTTCATATCAAATTCATAAAATTTTGTCCTGAAATTTCATAAACAGAATTTTAAAACGGAATAAATTGATCACTGGATAAAAAGTCATATCCACTCTACTTTAAACCATTTTTTATAAAAATGAGCGTGAATTAGATCTATTGAAATCTACTAAAGAGTGCGCAGATGAAAACTACCCTTTTATTTCTATCTAAAACACAACAACAATCACAACTGGTCACTTGTCAAAAAACCATAAATCATATTATACAAAAACAAAATGCAAACTAACGCTAAACTAACGTACTTAAGATTTTCTCCGTCTGCATTAAATGTAAATATAGCGCAAGACTTCTTTTTGAAAGTGAAAAAACGAAAAAATTACATACTTATGATCCATTCTTTTGTCGCAAAGACTGCAACCAAAGCAATCAACACACCACGATTTGTTGAGCGCTTGGAATACTTCACCACTGCATATTTTACCACATTTGAAACATACATTACCGTATAGCTAAATTTCGAAATTATTCAAATCGATAGTACGATCTTGAATAATAGCAAATCGTATTTAATAAAATAATAGCAAAACCATTACACATCACAACTACTAGTATTTGATTAATGATTTATTGGGCAGTTTCTTCTCTTTTCACTGATATACTATGGTGGTAGGCATATATTAAAATCTGGGAAATTTTTTTATTGTCATATTCATGAATAGAATATTCAGATGACAATCCAATTTCAAACTTACACCTTTAGGAACAAAAATGGATAAACAACCATAACAAGTATGAGGGGAAAAAGCTGGAAATCAACAATGCTCACCAATGCGTATCTCTTTTCCTTTGCTGTGCAACTATATAAGCCTTCTGACAAACAACTATGAATAATTAAGAAATTAACCTTATGATAATGTTGCTCGCAGTAAGCTAATCCTTTCTTCTCGTAATGACGATGACCAAGAAACGGTTTTTCACAAACAGCACAAACGAAATGCTGCAAATTTTTTGTTTTTTTTCTTACATTTCAAATTGTCATATCCATTTAAACTATGAGAATAGAATAAGAATGTGGGATAATATTATCGTAACAATCCAATGATATGTTCAAACCTCAACATGCCAGTTCTTGCCTAATGCAGTAACTACACGTTCCTCAATCGGTCTGTGGCATGCGCCACAAATCGGAATACCCATCGTATCATGACATCTCAAACAATACAATTCTCCACCGACTTCACGTGAATTTGTTTCTAGTTCCACACTAGAAGATGCAAAACACATACTGACATTTTATTCCTAAGTCTTCATATATTACTTCGATCACTTTGTTATCAACTATATTTCTTCTTCTGATAACATTAGTTCTCACAATCTATCGTTCCTTTTTCTGTTTATTTGAATCCTAATTGAAATTAATTAATTCTGGTTACTCGAGTTAGAAATTACCCGCAACATTTGCATTTAAAATGATATGGATGGAAGCTATCGCCATGATATTTAATATGGCCACCATCTTCAATAATGCCTTTGCATTTATGACATACATAACGACCTCGACCTGCTTCCTTTTCTCGCTCATTACATTCACGACAAAGCGCTCTAAAATAATAGTATTATTCTTTTGGCGATTGTCGTAATACATCTAAAATAGTGTGATGTTTACAAGCATTGCTTCCATAAAATAACTTTAAATTCATCATTTATCCTTTTTCTCTTGTTTTTCTATTATTAACTTCTATTATTTTGATTTTGAAGATGAATTCAAACATACCTCCCACAATTCCTCAAAAATCCGATATCAGCAAGTTCCTTGTTACATAATTCGCATCGGAAACACTGCGGATGCCAATTTGCGTTCATTGCCTTTATTACTCGGCCCACAATAAATTCGTCTGAACATAACAAATGCAATAACAAAAGCTTTCTTAATGTTCAACATAAATATTTTTTACTTGAAATGTTTGTATATGAAACGTTTTAGGATATCGTTTAGATGTTATTTTTGACGGATACCCATATATAAATAATGGGAAGAGGAAAAAACAAGAAAAAAAAATTTAATAGAATAAGAAAAATCTAAGATTTCAAACTCAAATCAATACTCCGCATCAAATAATGCAGCACGAAGTCAAAAAAAGAACAATTAGAAAACATACTACATTTATTGCAGCACGGCGCATACAATACGTGAAAGTCATGCTCACAGTATTTTCGCCCGTCAAATTCGAAATATATGCCATCCGGAAATGGCTCGAAACATTGCGAACAACTGTGATATACCAATTCAGTAAAGCGAAAAGAAAATATGCAGTGAATGGAAGAAATAAGCACAAAAATATAGCAGCAGCTGAACTACTGATACCGCCATTTCTCTTTCTAACACTTACCAGAGTACTGTGAAGCGAAAGAGAGGAGTTCAATACCTATATGCTTCTAAGGGTACTGTACGGCACCTCTTCGAGGCTAAATCTTTTCTAATAATGACTTGAACTATAAAACGCAAAATTTAAGCATATGTGAAGATTTTTTATTCGATTTTTGTACTAGAATTGTGAACGACATTCAGCACAGAAGTTATCAATAAATAATAAAAAAGAAACCGACATAAACACTGATGTCAGTTACCAAGTATCTGAGATTTCTAAAAAGCAACTAACAAAATAAAAGTCCCCATTCGAATACGAACATAGAAGCAACGCAAAACTTCATATGTAATTTTCAATTTCATAAATGTAACTTCTCAAAAATTTACCAAATGTATGCTAAAGAAAAAAAATAATGAAATTATAGTCTATTTTAAAGCCTTGCAAAAGCAAAAACTGATGCGCATAAAATGATCAAAACTTACACGAAACAATCAGAATGCCACACCTGTCCGGAAGAATTTACAATTTGTTCATTCAAATCGAAGCCATCATGACACCGTACACATGTTAAATTCTCGAAACCAGAGCTCAAATCACCATTGATCACACTATCCATTCCACCGCAGACCATTAATGACACTTTTTCTGGATAAGGCTCCTTTCACCGAAAACTCTTCGCTGATTCGTACAAATCACAGTTTTATCTAAATAAGTGTATATGTCTTTAATATACTACAGTGTCTTTAAGAACGGTTCACCGTCTTATTAGATCGAA